TCCAAACACTCACAATGTACAAAACACATGCACTGAAAAAATTAGCAAGTACACAGAACTTGCCCAGGAAATAAGGCATCTATGGAGGATGGATAGGGTAGTTATTGTACCTGTTGTTCTCTCCTGTACAGGTGTGATACCACACACACTACACAAAAGCCTGGGAACATTACAATTGAATAGAAATACATACATCACACTACAGAAGGCCACTATATTGAATACATGCCACATTGTTAGGAAATTCCTGAATACAGACACTGACACACTTATTTAATTTGTTTTGGTTGCTATGCCTTGACTCTGGTCCAGCATAGTACACAGCCACCGGTTTAAACCGAGTATTACCCACTAAACCCAACATAATAATAATGAAAAAATTTCCTAAAACCATAAAGCTTAATATGTAATATATTCACCATTAATTCAATGACTTTTATAAAATAGTGTCTTTAATATTCAGGAAGATTAAATTCACAAACATTACTCAAATTTAACTTTAAGTGTTATTACCTGTCGAAGGGTTCTAGCAACTATCGCTTCCAATACTGGACCTCTATCTCCATGTAATAAATGTACTTCATCAATTATAATTAAACGTACTAGCTGAGCTAAAGCAATATCTCCTGTTGCCTTTCTTGTTACAACATCCCATTTTTCAGGTGTTGTCACTATCATCTAAAAAAAGGAATAATAATAATAATAATAAATTTTTAATAACAAGTGTCATAATCAATATGATTAATTTAATATAAATTCAAAATAACTAGTAATATTAGAACTATTAAGTTATGAATATTAGTATTAGTTTAAAATCATTAGCCATATTTAATTTTTCTCAATGATCCAATTTCTAAAATTTAGAAATAATTAAAACATACAGTAGAGCATTGATTATCTGAATATCAATCAACTGAAACATGAATTAACCGAAAGCGTTCCAGTCAGCAAATTTAAATTTCCGCTAGTGCTATGGCACTGCAATCTCTGGCTATGTCTTGGGCTACTCCTATATTATTTTTGTTGGTGTGCATGTTTTAGCTTTCAGCACTGGTGCAACCATGAGAGGGCACTTAAGGACGTGCCAGGATTTGAATGAATTTCAACATGGGATAAATTAATATATTTTTTTTGTACATAATCAGTTATCCAAAAAATTGATTTTCTGAACAACCCCAGTCCCCAAGTGATTCGGATAATTGATGATCTACTGTAGTTCAATATCTTTTTAAAGAGTAATTTCAAAAACTATTGAGAATTAACATTTTCAATATTCTCAGTTTGGTATCATTGTTCATTGTTTTATATATATATGTTACTGTGAATGACCGGTATCTGGCGAATGTCAGCATTCACACAGTCATTTCGTGTATGTACGAAATATTTGCTAAATATCATTATTTCTCACTTACACCAGCAAATGTCGACATTCAGCATGCACTAATGGTGAATGTTGAATAAAAATATTTTTATTACGTTAAGACAAAAATGCAACTTTTTAATATGTCAAAATAGGAGAAAGCTTAAGTAACAGCACATGTAAATAAACCATTGAACCTAAAATGAACAGTTCATTCTAAATCATTAAAGAAAATAATACAATAATAAACTTACACATAAATTATGTGATTAACATTATCCAATCGGTTAATATTATGTATGGTTCCAAAATGGATGCGCTGCCAACTGTTTGTGATCCAGACGGACTCCTCCCGGAGGGGAGCTGCCAGCAGGCTGCCGAGTGTCAAACGTCCCTACTTATTGATTCACAGTAGTTCTTGAACAAAATAAATAAAAAAAAAAGGAAACATCTACTAAAAAAGTAGTTAACCTAACAGAAACAAAACGAACCTACCCGAAGCACGGCCATTTTGGAACCATAGATAACATTAACCATACAATCTTATTTATTGCAACAACTTAAACTGTTATGGCACTTTTAATTGAACAAGAGTTCCTTGTTTTACAACTGCATTTATTCATGGAACATACTTTTGCAATGACAGCATATATAGCCTTGCCCTCCACTTTTCGAATTAGCTGCAGCTGCTTCTCTCAGCGATATTTCTTGAGAAGAAACCTCATCTATGAAAAGTAACTTTTCTTTACAAATTACGAACTGATTACAGGTATAAAGTTGTTTGAGGGTACCATTTTTGTTTGTTAATTTATAAAAGTCGGAACCTTCTATTCCAACAACAACTGCCAACACATTTCGGGCATCTCTATGGCCATGGTTGACATCAGGGACTTGTATTCGTATGGTATCGCCAATTTGAGCAGAAGGAAACGGCAAAGAATTTAGCAATAGACTGTCGCCTTTCTGTCAACATCGGCTTGTCAGGTGTCGTTTCGACCTCCACCAAGGCTTGTCTGTGCTTGTCGACATACACTGGCGATTGTTCGAATGTATAATACTTTAACCAAATATTCAGTCTTTCACCGACGTATTTTGTATGTGTCAACATTCACCGGAGAATATCAGAATATCGACATTCTCTAATTTTGGTCTTTCACATTTTTCTTGCAGTTTTACATAACTAGACAAATGGGAGTTATATACTTTTATAATACTTATAATAATTAAATACTTTTTTCATATTAAATTAGAACAAGATAAAATATTTTGAATAAAAGTATTAAATAATCATATACATAAAACATAAGATTTAAAGTAATTGGCCGAACTCGAGGGTATAGCCAAGGAAGGAATAGGATAGGGAGAAAGAGGTGAGTGAGGGAAGAGAAGAAAGAGAAGGGATGTGTGTAGGGGGTGGGGGGAAAAGAGGTAGAAAGGAAAGGAGGAAAATAATCATATACAAACGAAAATTTACAAAAACTGATATTTATTTACCTGAGTTTGATTAATTTCTTTTTTTGTTAATTGCATATCTCCTGTCAACTCTCGAACAATTACATTAAAAACGTCAAGTCTTCTGCTAAAATTTCTAGTCATTTCAGATGCAAGGGCTTTCATTGGAGCAATGTAAACTATATTCACCATTAATTCAATGACTTTTATAAAATAGTGTCTTTAATATTCAGGAAGATTAAATTCACAAACATTACTCAAATTTAACTTTAAGTGTTATTACCTGTCGAAGGGTTCTAGCAACTATCGCTTCCAATACTGGACCTCTATCTCCATGTAATAAATGTACTTCATCAATTATAATTAAACGTACTAGCTGAGCTAAAGCAATATCTCCTGTTGCCTTTCTTGTTACAACATCCCATTTTTCAGGTGTTGTCACTATCATCTAAAAAAAGGAATAATAATAATAATAATAAATTTTTGTTATTTAATTCGACTTAAGCATCTTTAAACAGGAATTCTTGGATTCCATTTATATTACGTGAATGTCAATTAAAGCAGATTTTATTAATTGTTTTAAAATCAACTGTGACCATACCTAAAAATGGAAGCAGTAACTTTCATGCATGCGCATTAGTATCTAATTTAAATAGCAATGTCATCAATGATTCATGTTGTGACATCTAATGACACAAGGCGATCTCTGTGCCATTAATGTTTAAATCATTAGTCCCATCATTGATTGATTGGACTATTGACTTTCTTTAACATAAGTAGTACAGGCAGCCCTCGGTTTACACTGTCTCAATTTACACTGATTCACAATAACGCCAATTCACAATAACGCTGCTGCGCAATTTGATGTTTTGCAGTGTAATTCTTCAATTTTCCCTATGCTAGAGTGATATTCATTTTAGTGTTGACGTATTTACCGAGCCATGACATTGTACATTCATTAAAACAAAGATTTTTATTAAATATATTTATTTTTTCTGTTTAATATTATTGGATATGTATACATTTGCATTAAATTAATATTAAAATACTAAATGTTTAGGTACCCACAAGTCATATTATTAAACATAATAGTCAATGAATGTATCACGTATCAGTTTGTTCAGGAAAACACCTTACGACGCAGTAGCACTTTTGGCGATCACAAACTATTGTTAGTGAGACAAATCTACTTCTCGTTGGCCAGACGATATCTATCTCTCCTTAATTTTTCCGCTCAAACTGACCTTACATATGTGCTACGGCGACCGGT